TATCCCCGCCCATCTCTACCAGCAACAGGGGCAACTCCCAAACCTCATATTAGGTTTTGGAGAGTCAACTCCCAAAACAGCCCAGACCCAAAGCTGAGTCCTGCCAACAGTGCAACAGAGACAAGACAAGACAGTATCAGCCATTTATTTGTATTGTCTCAGAATTTGAATACCCAAAAATACTGTATTTGTGTTGTCTCACTTTCATGAGACAATACACATGTATCGTCTTTGGAAAGTGAGACAAGTATTCTGTATCGTCTCAGATGACTGATCCCACCAAAAACATCTTTGATACACAAGATATTTGGCTGTATTGAAGAAAAAAAAACAAAGGCAATTTTTTTTTTTTTCATTTGTAAATCCAAATCCAAGACAATGGATTTTCTCACCAACCAAGGAAATATTGATATCAGTCATGTCTTGTATCTGTTGCACTGCTGGTCCTGCTGACCAGCAGCAGATGCCTTGTTGGGGTCTTGTCAACAATGTCTCCCAGTTTTTAGGAGTTTGAACTCCACTTGTTGGGAGTTGTTTAACTAAGCACAAAGAATTAGCATGTCTCATGAAGCTTTCAAAACCTGTGAGTTTCAGATACCCTGCCTCCCTTGAGATCAAGCACCCTTTCTTCCACTTAGTTGAAGTTAGAGCATAAATAACCCAGAACATATTCAACCATAGTTATTTTTCAACACTTGTCTCATTTCAAAGGACAGTTACTACCAGCTTCCATCAATTTAGTTGTGGGAAAAAATCCTGAAAGCAAGTCATCCCAGTTGAATTCCTTCTTCTTAGTCTCACCAATGATAGGCCAGCCACACTAAATCTAGTGCTGGTACCACTAACAGTGCATGCTTTTCTTTTGGATTCTTGCCATAACAATTCAGGGAGATCAGATGAAATTGCACCCTGGTTTAGGCTGGCTTTGTGAGTAAAAACTCCCCTGAAGTCAGCAGGGACTTGTGTCAATGGCAAATGTGATAGGATTGAGATAGTCTCACAAACTCAAAACAGTCTTTTTTTTTTCATGAACCTCAGAAACCCAATTTGACATTGAGAATCCCAATTTGATGTGGGCACAAAATTATCTTTTATCATTATAGATGTCTCTGTCCTCAAATAGAGTTTTTGTTTTACAAGCCCAATGAAACAATTGATTTTGATCATCCTTATCAAGGTTGAGGGATGCAGTTGTTTAGTTTGGAGTTCTTCAAGACTGCGCCGTAATAATTAGGTTCCTGATTCCTGTTGACACTCGATACAGATATTTGGATGATCTTTCTGAAACGTTTGCAATTAGTTGATTCAAGCGTATAGACAAACACTTTTGTCGATCGAAGAGCGACGGCGTAGTCGCTCTGAAACTATAGCACCATGATCTCAAGACCTAGGTCTAGAAGCAGCTTGCCAAGCATCACGTCTGACCGCCCTGACCTCTGATAACATCATAACGCCTTCACAAAAGGACCTTGTAAGGAAACTGTTAAGGAGTCTGACGTTAACTGCGAAAATTGGTGGAATCCCCCGGCTAGTATTGGTATTTTCGAGGGGCTCCTTTCTGCCATCTTCGAAGGGCGTCATGGTCTATAGACATCTGATGTTCTGCTTATTTGGAATAGTTTCCCATTTTAACTCGGCCGACCTACACTTGTCTGAGTGGGAAGACATGCCAACCCCAAAGATAAATTTCATGGAAGAGCAGTTCAACTCCGCTTTGAGTTTGTGGCCGACCCCCAGAGTTCCTCCAACGGAATTGGAAAATTCCCTCAAAGCATCAGATCATCAATCTCATCCTCTGGCACACTTAACATCGAAGGATTTCGAGGTCAATCACATTTCTCCGGTCCCACCATCCCCTCCTTTGGAAAGTATGTTACTTAATTGGGAAAAGGATTCGACCCAAGTCAATCAGGTCCAAGGCAAGCCTTTTGAATGTGGTGTAGGTACCTCTTCCAATCCATTTGATACTCTTATTCAGGATCCTAATATCTCCACTCCAGGTGAGTTGTTTTCGGTTTCCTATCCAAATACACAAACTATTGTTTCACTTCAGGCTGACTAACACCGGTCTGAAGTCCATGACGAAATCGAGAAGGACCACTCCAGGTTGGCTCAAAGGCCTGATATCGATGTGGATTTGACCAATAGAATAGTCCAAAGCATTCAAAGGACTATGATTCATCAAGGTAAGAGGGCATAGTTTCCTCAGAACTAAGTCTAGGTTAATTAAAATTGATACGAGTCTCAACAGATGGCGCTATTCGAAGCAATGAAGTACCCTTGAGCGAGCCAGTGAATGAAGTTATCAACAGGTCGCCTTTAAGAGAATCAAAGAAGAGATCAACTGCTGAATGTTCGAGTCTGAATGATCAGGTAGATGGAGAGATTCTTGAAAATTCTTTCATTGTGGGATACAACACAATATTCCTGCTCAAGCACCATTATGATATTTTTTATATAAGAGCCCATTCAGAAATTTACATCAAACTGGGTAACGCTGCCCGTCAATGTATTGTCCCTCATCCATATCTACCGATTGGAATATATCCAGGAAAAGAGACTCCTGCGGTCATCCGAGTGTTAAACGATTCGACAAATAAACCTATGGATGCCACTCAAATGTTGTGCCCACGCTACTATGTCTTGATCAAATGGATCTATTTCCTCCATGAAGAATGGCTGAATAATTTCAAGATCCCAACATTCATGTATAGGGTTTTGCAAGAAAGACTGTTGAACTGGTTAGACTTTGAAATATGTGGATCTGATGATCAAAATTTTCCAATAATTGGCACCAAACGCTTGGAAAAATTGGAATGGAACAAAGATCATCAATTCCGCGACACTCAGATCAAATTGATTTTTTACTTTTCCCAAACTGATAAAAGCAGTACTGTATTTGACACTGCTGCCTACCTGTTGGAAGCCTTCAAAGCTGAGAATTCACGTGAGTTTCATTTTCCTTGATATCAATTAAACAAAACAAGATTGGTAAAGTTCATTAAATCATGTCATTGAATAATTTCAAACCAAAGTACCTATGGATGGGTTAGATTCATGTTCACTATGGAGAAAGGACCACTTGATGGTTGATTCACCAGCCTCCAATGATCAAATGAAAGAATTCACTGAATTTTATCCTTGCAATAATTTCAAAAAAAATATGGAAATTTTATTGAGTTTATCTGAAAACCAATTCATATTTAATAATTTGGTTCATGCTCACAAGTTTGTGATTGGCTATGAGAAGTTTTCCTCATTATTTCTTAAAGATTTCAGTGATCAATTTAAATCTAGAAGGGTAAATCTTAAAAATAAATATAGGAGTGTACACCCTAGGTTATCAATGGGCATGTACTTTGAATCAATTAATTCAGATAATAAATTTTTTCACATCTTGAGAAAAGATCGTTTGAAGCGCCCATTGAAATCGATTTTTATATATAGAAAATTCAACAAACTACTCAAGGCAATCAATCACATTCACCTCAAGGCCTGGAAATACTTCAATATTGAGGAAGAAGAATATGAGCAAAGTATCCAAAAGATATTTGAATGGCTGATAAACATTATACTAAAGCCCCAAGGATATCCCCCTTTATTTGGAGCTTTTAAACTTAAGGGAGATCTGGCACCTTGGGAGGATGCAAGAAATGGAGTTTGTGAAGGCTTTCAGATGGTTCAATTACAATTAATAGTGTATTTCTCTCAAGTTAAGGAAGATCCCCTCATCCTGAAAAGATCAGCAGGATTTGTTCTTACAACTTGGTATTCGGATCATTATTCAACTGTTCTTCACAATTTGGTAAAATTGATTGAACAGAAATTTCAATTTCAACATTAAATTCTTCCTGCAGCCTTCTTCTAGAAAAATTCTCCTTCTCTTTTTCTTCTAGTCTCCGTCAAAAAGTGATGATTCGACTAAGGGCCAGTTTTTTTTTTTTTGTTTTCAATTGAGGTCGTTCTTTTCTTCCTCTCCATAAATTTGTTCGGATATTGGTTTCTAAATCAACGAGAATTAACTGAATTCCAAGAACGGTTTTCAACACAGAGTCACGAGCGAGATGTCGTGGTAATTTGGATATATGTATGAGATGCTGGTGAATTGATCAAGTTTACAATATTTGTGATACATGCTTGTAAGGTAGATTACGGAATCCAGATCGATTGAGCTAGAATCACCATAGCCAAGACTTCTTTTTATTTAGATTTTGATCGCCAGTTGATTCCGATTTTTCTTCAGTGAGTCTCTCGCCTTCGGAGGCCAGATTGGCCGTCAGCTTAGGACTAGGTTTGACTTGATTCATTTTGGTGACCACTTGCTGGATCTGTTCGACCTCGGTCTGTCGTTTTTGACTCAGTTGATAGTAGGATATCGATGATAAGAATACGAACGAGTAGACGCCCCAGTTGGCCGATGACCATCCCCCTGTTTTTTTTTTTTTTTTTTTTTTTTTTTTCCAAAATTTCAACTCTGCTTTCCTGATTGTATCACAATTCGGAGAAATATCTTACGTCTCGTTGAAATAAACCGGAGGCCACCGATGCATGTTCCTCCGGCCATGCCAAACATCAATGCCTTCCTCTGAGAGGGCACTCTTGCGAATCTATCCTGAAGACTGTCATTGAGGTTGAAAGACTACAAATCTGGTGGTCAGTTTGTTGGGTTCTCAACCAATCACAAAAAAACTTGGCGAACCTGTAGAGCTTCCCATGCTGTTGGTCTGGGCGCGGGTGGGGGTAAGGATGTGGGTGAAGCCATCGAGTGGATGAGTTTTATATGTAGGTCTTGCGCTTCCTGGTTTCCTGATGCGCTGCTGGGACTGATGGTCAACTCGTGGTGGTGATTTGGTTCGAAAAAAGGCCTGGCCCCTTTTTGGGTCAACAATGCGGGACGGCGCTTGACTCTGGATGCGGGACAGTATTGTGACATGAGCTTCTTGACCCCTCCAGCCAAAACTCAAAACACAGCGAACTCTGGCAAAAGGTGATTCAAGAAAAAAAAAAAAACTCAGATTCGAGCGATGACGGTCACGAGAAACTTATCATGTTCGAACTTCACCAGCCACTCAGGAAGCTCAAGACCGATCGAAGAGATCGCCATGGAAATCAAACAGACAAATGCGAAGCTACTTCAGCTTCAACTGGAACTCAGCCACGCATTGAAGTCTCAAAAAGTGAGTATTTAACTAATTCTTAGTCTTTCTCTCAGCAAAGTAGCAAATGTGAAAAATTTAAATGTTGAATAGAACAGCTGATTTTCTATCCGCTCTGGTACATTCAGGTCGATTCGCTTAAGCAGGACTCGTTACCGCTCGATGATTATATTCGTTATGGACGACAAATGATTGTCTCCCAAGTTGGACTAACAGGTATGATGATCATGATGTCCTTCAAACTCGCCAAAATTGATGGACGCCTGCTAACGGTAGACCTCACGGATTGAATGTGTCAGGCCAACTAAAGCTCAAAAAAGCATCGGTTCTAGTCATCGGCGCCGGAGGATTAGGTTGTCCTGCATTGCTTTACCTTGTCAGAGCGGGCGTTGGTAACTTTGTTTTTTTTCCCAAAAAACCTCTCCTGCCTTGACGTGAAACAATGTTGATATTTCTCATCGACACTTTACGATTCGTTTAGGAAATGTATCTATCGTTGACCATGACACCGTCGAGCTCTCAAACCTACATCGTCAAGTCTTGCATACTGACTCGACCGTTGGTTTGAATAAAGCGGAATCCGCACGAATCAACCTATTGGCGTGAGTTTGACCACCGCAAATTACCATCTGTGTTTACTACGTCATTGAGTTGAAAAAAAAACAGATACTTTAATCAACCTAAAAATGAACATGTATTCATATGAGGCTAAAGTGAACTTAAAAACTGATGGTTTTACCTTAATATGTACTTCCATTCAGGGGGAATCCATCTGTCAAAATCACCGCCTATCCCATACCGTTTATGATGTCAAGAATGTCCAACCCGAGCAAAGAAAAAGTTGATGATTCGACCCCAAATCTCTTGCCGGACATCAGTCAATTCTCGCTTGTTCTCGATTGCACCGACAACCCAGCGAGTCGTTACTTGATATCGGACGCGTGCGCCGCCTACGGAATCCCATTAGTGTCTGGTGCTGCAATCCGAACCGAGGGGCAATTAGCTGTCTGGAACCTACCACACCCATCTGATTCTTCCCATGATCGCGGTCCATGTTATCGCTGTATATTTCCAGAAACGGATCAAATTCGGGTCGAGCGATGCGCAGATGAAGGCGTCTTGGGCCCTGCAGTCGGGGTCGTTGGGGTGCTCATGGCCTGGGAAGCTATTCGTCTCTTGATTGGTATCCATGGTTTGTAGCTCTCTTTGTATTCTATCTCCAATTCATTTCGCCCATGGGGGCTAGAAAATCAACTCACCTTTTGAGTTCCCCCCCCCCTTTTTTTAGACCTCACACCCAAATTGCTTCTCGTGCCTTCTTTCCGGTCCATCAAGCTACGCAAAGCAAAAAAAGATTGCCTGGGATGTAGTGCCCCCAGTAAGACTGCTTTTTTGGAACGCATCCGAGTCCAGCCGTCGGGATCGCATGGGGAAGCTGGTTCAGAAGTTGATACTTTATCGAAGGCGTGTTCGATGGGTTCTCAGCAGCCCGTAATTCAGACTTCTACCGAGCGTATCACAGCTAATGTATGACCGTCGAATTTGCTGAATCTATGTGTCTATGTTCGTTGACAGTACTGTGATATATTTTCTGATTCTTAATGTAGGATCTTCTGTCGAATAAACACCAGCTTAATCAATTTCGCTTGCTCGATGTCCGGCCTAGAACTCAGTTTGAGATTTGCGCACTACCAAACTCCATTAGTCAGTACAATTTTTCCCCTTGCCATTGAATCCGTCGAAGAAGATTCACTCTTTTTCGACGGATGCATCTTGAACTCCTTCAAGAGATCAAATTGATCTCTCGTGAGGGGGGTATACATGCACATGCAGTTCCCATTTGTTCCTTCATTGCCTTGGATTGACAACACTTATCACCATTTTCCCCCAATGAAGACATTCCAATAACCGAAGCCTTAGAAAATCCGGAATCAACGATTGAAAGGTTAAGGAAATTTACGCACAACGCGTTGAAGAATGAAGACAGGACGAGTGCACTCAAGAATCAGTGCGACTGGTTGGTGGTATGTAGGCGTGGTAACGACTCGCTCTTAGCCGCAGATGCCTTGAACAGCGTCATCTCCGCCTCTACTCCTCATCGAGAACAAGAAGATCATACAATCAAAAATGAAAAGTTTATGGATCTTGTTGGGGGCTTGGAGACGTATAGTCTTGTCCTGGATCCCACCTTTCCACTATATTAAGTTCAGAATTTCTTCTGTGTATATGTTACATTACACTGGAATTGATGCCTGCAGGATTCTTTCTAATATTACTCAACGGTGGGAACAGTATACTATGATAGCGTATGTTATCTGCGTGTCGGAAAGTCCTCAGCTGATGTCCATACCAGTCATCGTTACTGATACCAGGGAAATTTCCTCGAATATTTGTAGTTTTCATGTTTACTTTCCTGAACATGTGTGTCTTAAGAATTCTCAGTAATCAAAGCCGTGGCATCCAAACCCGTCAATGGACATGTGATGATGGGGCCTGATTTCATCGGGTCAGGTGCTCTAAGCCAGTTGTACTGGAATCCAGCACAAGTGCCTTTGCTGGCCAGATGGAAGACTTGTAGCTGATGTCAATAAAGTTGAGCTTCTCTCATATAGTTATTTATTCATATTGTTTCTTATGTTGAAGATAAATACCTCAAACAAGTGAAAACCCTTGAGTTTTCCAAAATCTTTCAAATTAGTTTGTTGGATATAAATTGAACTGCTCTGCTCACACAAAAGAAAGTCAAGCATCATCGACGGTTAAACTTCGTCAAGTGAAAGTTTTTTGCAATCCGGCAGAAGAACAGTTACA